AATTATAAGAACAATTCGCCGGCTCTTACGACATCCGGCTTCTTATCACGCTGACCCATTTTCAAAGCCCAATTACGCCAATCACTTTTATCTATTTATACGTTTCCATATATATATCGGCCTGTTCGTCACAGTGGATAATTTAATCGCGGCGCCAGAAACGAAGAAGAGCACCGAGCTCTGAGAAGCCGGCAGGTGGTGAAGAAACATGCTTCCACAAGAAGTACACGGTGTCCTGAAAAAGAAGTCGAACAAATTTGGAACACATAGTGTTCGTTAAAGTAACGAAACGTTGGTCAGGTATTAAATTCATTTTTATAGGGGACAGATCGAGATAAAGACAGGTGTTTCATGTCTGATTTTTATTCCAGTTTCTTTTATATTTGTAAGATAGGCGTTTTGCGGCCGCCTTCTGCATCGATGCAAATTTGCGGGAATTGCAACGAGTGCGACGAGTATCTCTACATCTTCGTTTTTATTTTGGAGTTTGTACACAGGCTAATTAGTACCAAATATGTCAAACCTTCCGTTATCTAGATGAACTTTGGAAAATGATGTCTTTTTACAAAACGAATAGAGGGAATACTTTTTTCTTATAAAATGTCTAGAAAAATACATTTTATACTCGTTTAAAAAATACAGTAGGAATACATAATTTTCCTTTATTTATTTCATTCTTTTTTTCTTATACAAGAATTTGTGCGATAAAATTATCGATAAGTAGCGTTACGCATGCTCGATAATCGGTAAAGCACGAAAGTTATTTAGCTTGTGAGAAAGTAGTATCGTGCAATTTATCTAGCAGATATAAAAGAAGCAGAAATTTCTTCTACTTGTTCACGCACATTTCCATACGAACTATCACTTGGTACGAGTTCAAGCGACGATTCTCTTCACCGACAAGCTTCTCTTCTCGGTCCACGCAGGATGGAAGAAAGAAAAAAGGGGGACGTTTCGTTATCGTTCCGCGTTGTCAATACTTTTCCCGGTGGCCGTTTACGCACGAGCATTCGCGTTGCCCGGTGGCCCATTCAAGTCTCGTTACGCTAACCATTGACTCGTTAACTCACTCTCGGCCATTAATTCGCGATACATTACGAGGGCATTAAGTCGAGTACGAATTCTGTGAATGGTGTGAAACTCGTGTGGAATCGTGTTACTGGAAATCATTTCTTGATCTTCGGTTCTTCTCGAATCATAAAAAAGTGGAAAGAAATTAAACGAGAGAGATAGAGGAATTACAAACCCGTCGAAACAATCTCAGCTGTCACACCGTGACTTTTTGAACTTCTTAAATGCCGGTGAAAGTCTTCTCGAATATCAAACAAAAATGAAAATATTATTTTTTCTACCTCTGGGAATTAACGGGTTAAGGGAATATTTGAAACGGAAGAAAACTTCAAAAATTCGTAGAATAAAACTTTATTGTGAAACATGGAATAACCGCCAATTTTGGTCGCTAATAACCGAGATGTTGATACGGTCCTAAATTATATTCGAAAAGAAAGGAAGAAATAGAAGAACATTATCGAAGTAGCCAGATAATATGTGATAATGGAAGAAGTTTGTCTCGCCAAATAAGAAGAAGACCACGGTGTCACGAAGCGTGGCATTGATAATAGGCAAATGATGTCGATAACTCTCTCGAATGAGCTTATCGTCGGCTCGTTTGTCGTGGATAACGCTATCGATGAAAGTACTGTTTACGATTTTCGGTAGCCAGCGTTTCAGAGAAACGGGACTTCTCGGTTGATTAGATGACACGGCTGCCAACGTCGATACGGGGAATTGAATTAAAAAGCGCTCCAGTTTTTATTTCGAAAGTTTTCTGATTTGTCGCGTGGCGGAGTTACAGGAGCACGAGTTCTCCGCCCTTCTTTCGGGGTAAACAACATTGACTCGGGCAGGATTCATGGCTGTATCATTTTTGTTGCTTTTGCGACGGAATTTTGGCTTGCGATCAGTTTTGGTTTTTCAAACGAGGATACCGAAGTCTATTTTTTTCAAATTCGATCCTTTAATGATTGATAACTCAAACGATGAATTTTTGTAAATTTAACGATAGTATTTATTCAAGCTTCGAACAATAGTGGGAGGTATAATAATAAAAGTGAGATATAAAATTCTCTAATTTTCATACAGCAATTCGCTTGTATTATTCTATTTTTCATATCTTTCGATGCAAAATTCTCGACTGTCATACTTCGATTACCGTACTATTGAACACCAAAGGAAGAACGTCAGAATAAAAGCAATATGATAAATAGTTCTATTCATTTTTATATCGTAAATGATAAATAAAGAAAAACTGCGCATTGTTAGAAGCAGGAGACGACATACAATGCTGGTACAACAAGTGACTATGATTGACAGGAATTGAAAGAACACCAAAATGAAATTAAAAAGCGCGTAATACCTCTGTATTTCTATAATTAAAACATACATTACAAGAAAGTCGTAGGTCCATTTCTCTCGCATTTGGAATAACAATATTTACAATTATCGTCGAATTGTAATTTTCATGGTCACGTTGCAGTTACAACTGTCGTTAAATCAATAATCTGTTAAACAGCTAATACACATGTGCTAACTGCTCCGCCGTCTATTTATACGTACGCATTGGATTGAAAATTATCGACTCGCGACATCTAACAATATTCCTTCCTTTTTTTTTTTTCTAAAAATACTCGATCACCGATAAACCGTTAAATTCGTTACAAGAGAGAACGCACTTGGCTGCATCTAGCAGAAACCCTACGACCAAACACCACGAAACACCAGGTTCCACACGGCACTGAACGAATTAAACACCCGCAACGAGTCAATTTATCGTAGCCAGTTGCGGAGGCGTTCTTAAACCAACGAGACACGACCCGTCTCCGCTGCTCCGACCGACCGAAATTTATTCTTATAAAAACAATCGTGTCGGTCCCTTCCGGATCCTCCAGCTTAAATATTCCCCTAACTCGTACCAACCCAC